TCCCTGCCTGCAAATACAATAATCACTTCCGGCAGCTATAGCCACCGGCAGTGATCACTTTAAAAAAAAAAAAAAAAAAAAACGACAAGCTGGTTGTACTATAGTCAATCGATGGATCAACTTCTGTGCAAACAGGTTTCCCATAGATGGATCAAATTCTGGCCAGTCCCCGCTGAACTGGCCAAGATTTGATCCATCTATGGCCGGCTTAAATAGGATTTTCACCCTCCCCCTTTTACGAGGGATTTAAACATGTATATGTAACACCCTCCTAGTTAGCTAGGGGGAGCTCTAACTTCAATTGTTAGACAGGGGCTGAGCGGCAGCCCAGGTGCAACAGAGGGAGGTTAAATTTGAGTCAGAGCTGAGAGGCTCCGCAGGCCAGCCATTCTGGAATTTCCTTTTGCTCTAGAACTTTGGAGAAAGGTCTAGAAGCAGTGGGTGGATCTGAGGAGTGGCTGTCTTGCACACATAAGGGATTTTGGCCAAACCACAACAAGAGGCTTGGCAAGGGGCCTAGACAGCCCTTAAAGGCAAGAGAGCCTGCTTAGCTGTAGGAGTTTGAGTGGACGATGGAGAAGTAGGCTGAAGTGCAGGAGTCTGGGAGGGGTCCCAGTTGGCAGAAGGGCTCACCTACAGGCAGTGGAGCCGGACAGGAAGATGAATCCATAGCAGCACAGGAGAGGGACAAGTGAGTAAACCTACCCCACCTAGATAGGGAAAGGAGCACTCTGGTGAGAAACCAGATTAGCAAATCTGCTGGGACTGTCTTTCTTTTAAAGTGGCAGAACTGGATCCTCTGTCCAGGGATTTTCTTCAGGCAGCCAGATTGAGGAATATTTGGGGTCTGGAGAGGTACACTGGGAGATGCTGGCTAGCTCTCCACAGAGACTGTGTTGCAGGGGACTTGTAAATAATTCCAGGAAGTTGTCCTTAGTTCATCAGTTCCATTGGGCATCCCATATACCCCTTTCCCCAACCAAGTTGATATCCCCTCAATAAAATATCAAAAACAAGCTCAAGGGCTTATTTAGTACTCCTGGATGCAAGTCTGTGAGAAATGAGTGTGGGGAACTGACGTCATTCGCCTAGGTCAGTGGTGGGCAACCTTTTTTTTCAACTGAGCCAAATCTCGCCAAAACCACGATTGAAATTTATTTTGAGAGCCACATTTTTAAAACTGAAAATACATCCCCCATATAGTAATTCATCCCCCATAGTAATTCATCCCCCATATAGTAATTCATCCCCCATAGTAATTCATCCCCCATATAGTAATTCATCCCCCATAGTAATTAATCCCCCATATAGTAATTCATCCCCCATAGTAATTCATCCCCCATAGTAATTCATCCCCCATATAGTAATTCATCCCCCATAGTAATTCATCCCCCATATAGTAATTCATCCCCCATAGTAATTAATCCCCCATATAGTAATTCATCCCCCCCCCCTATAGTAATTCATCCCCCCTATAGTAATTCATCCCCCATAGTAATTCATCCCCCATAGTAATTCATCCCCCATATAGTAATTCATCCCCCATAGTAATTCATCCCCCATAGTAATTCATCCCCCGTAGTAATTCATCCCCCATATAGTAATTCATCCCCCATAGTAATTCATCCCCCATATAGTAATTCATCCCCCATAGTAATTCATCCCCCATATAGTAATTCATCCCCCATAGTAATTAATCCCCCATATAGTAATTAATCCCCCATATAGTAATTCATCCCCCATAGTAATTCATCCCCCATATAGTAATTCATCCCCCCCCCAATAGTAATTAATCCCCCCTATAGTAATTCATCCCCCCTATAGTAATTCATCCCCCATATAGTAATTCATCCCCCCTATAGTAATTCATCCCCCATAGTAATTCATCCCCCATATAGTAATTCATCCCCCATAGTAATTCATCCCCCATATAGCAATTCATCCCCCCTATAGTAATTCATCCCCCATATAGTAATTCATCCCCCATAGTAATTCATCTCCCATATAGTAATTCATCCCCCATAGTAATTCATCCCCCATATAGTAATTCATCCCCCATAGTAATTCATCCCCCATATAGTAATTCATCCCCCCTATAGTAATTCATCCCCCATAGTAATGCATCCCCCATATAGTAATTCATCCCCCCTATAGTAATTCATCCCCCATAGTAATTCATCCCCCATATAGTAATTCATCCCCCATATAGTAATTCATCCCCCCTATAGCAATTCATCCCCCATAGTAATTCATCCCCCATATAGTAATTCATCCCCCATATAGTAAGTCCCCCCTGTGTCAATTCACTTACCTTTGCTCCGCACGTTCTTCTCGCTGTGTTCCCGCGCCGTTCTGGTCTTCAGGGCGGACTGTGAGAGGAGAGGATGCTGGCTAGCTCTCCACAGAGACTGTGTTGCAGGGGACTTGTAAATAATTCCAGGAAGTTGTCCTTAGTTCATCAGTTCCATTGGGCATCCCATATACCCCTTTCCCCAACCAAGTTGATATCCCCTCAATAAAAATATCAAAAACAAGCTCAAGGGCTTATTTAGTACTCCTGGATGCAAGTCTGTGAGAAATGAGTGTGGGGAACTGATGTCATTCGCCTAGGTCAGTGGTGGGCAACCTTTTTTTTCAACTGAGCCAAATCTCGCCAAAACCACGATTGAAATTTATTTTGAGAGCCACATTTTTAAAACTGAAAATACATCCCCCATATAGTAATTCATCCCCCATAGTAATTCATCCCCCATATAGTAATTCATCCCCCATAGTAATTCATCCCCCATATAGTAATTCATCCCCCATAGTAATTCATCCCCCATAGTAATTCATCCCCCATATAGTAATTCACCCCCCTATAGTAATTCATCCCCCATAGTAATTCATCCCCCATATAGTAATTCATCCCCCATAGTAATTCATCCCCCATATAGTAATTCATCCCCCATATAGTAATTCATCCCCCCTATAGTAAATTCATCCCCCATATAGTAATTCATCCCCCATAGTAATTCATCTCCCATATAGTAATTCATCCCCCATATAGTAATTCATCCCCCATAGTAATTCATCCCCCATATAGTAATTCATCCCCCCTATAGTAATTCATCCCCCATAGTAATGCATCCCCCATATAGTAATTCATCCCCCCTATAGTAATTCATCCCCCATAGTAATTCATCCCCCATATAGCAATTCATCCCCCATATAGTAATTCATCCCCCCTATAGCAATTCATCCCCCATAGTAATTCATCCCCCATATAGTAATTCATCCCCCATATAGTAATTCATCCCCCATATAGTAAGTCCCCCCTGTGTCAATTCACTTACCTTTGCTCCGCGCGTTCTTCTCGCTGTGTTCCCGCGCCGTTCTGGTCTTCAGGGCGGACTGTGAGAGGAGAGGAGTTCATCACGCTGCCCCGCCTACATCCTGACAGCTGCAGAGTCCTGACTTTTGGGGCGGCCGCCCGAGAGGAGGGAGGGGAACGGACGCCCGGCACACAGAAGAGCCGCATTTAAGTTTGTAAAGAGCCACATGTGGTTCGCGAGCCGCGGCTTGCCGACCACTGGCCTAAGTGAATGACGGAGGATAGGGACAGGTCGAAACTAATTAAAAAAAAAACAAACAAGTAAACAGAAGGAAAGGTGGTGGTAAGATACCTCCGTAACGCAGCGAGGGCTTGTATACCTGCACATTGGAAGTCCTCCTCTCCACCAAAGGTTGAACACTGGATTAGAGCAGTGAATTGGATAATGTGTATGGAAGCACTTGCAGTGCAAGCAGATGCAGAGATATAGGCAGTTGAAGTTGAATGCAAATTTTAACTTTTCCAAGCTTGGCCCTGCCTCCTTGAATAAAATGGGCAGCCTCATTAAATAAAATGGAGGTTCGAGAGGAGGGTAAGGATGGGGCCAAGTGTTCTTTTTTTTTAGGAAAGACTTATGCATATAACTTTAGCTGTATTCATGCTAGAGATGAGCTGTTTGTTTCATTCAGTATTGAAATCCAGAAGAAACGTTTGTTATTCAGAGATTCAGATGTATCCGAATTTCCGAATGACAATATTAACAATTTTAAACGAATCCGAAATAATGAAACAAAATTTCATTTGAAATTGAATTCGAAAACAAATTTAAAATATAAACCTTTTGCTGATTTTCTTCAAAGACTATGTTGTGTATTAGTGTTAGTATATAGGTATCTTCCAAAATTTGAATTTCGAAAAGAATAGAATAGATTAAAACAAAATAAAATTGAATACAAAAGAATAGAAAATAGAATAGCATATACAATAAAATAATAGAATAGAATAGAAAAGAATAGAATAGCCATTTTCCGAAATTCAAATTTCGAAAAGAATAGAATAAAGTAAAACAGAAAAGAATAGAATTAAAAATAAAAGAATAGAAGAAAAAAGCATTGAAAATAAAGGAATAGAATAGAATATAATAGATTTGAATAGAAAATAAAAGATAGATTAGTTTAGAAAAGAATAGCATAAAACAGAATAGAATAGCTGAGCCCTGCTACATCAAAAATAGGAACATGCCATCAGTTGTGGTAATCGAAAACTGCCAGCTCTAGTGAGAGATATCACTGAAACTCAAAATGAACATAACACCACATTACTGAGCTATGCATTAAGAAGTGAACAGTCAACAAACTTTTGTGCCATCAAATGCTGTTGGCTGCATTTATTAACCACTTGCCTACCAGGCACTTATACCCCCTTATTTACCAGGCCAATTTTCAGCTTTCAGCGCTGCCGCACTTTTATTGACAATTGCGCGGTCATGCAACATTGTACCCATATGAAATTTTGATCATTTTTTTCTCACAAATAGAGCTTTCTTTTGGTGGTATTTAATCACCGCTGGGCGCTTTACTTTTTGCGCTATAAATAAAAAAAGTACAAAAAATTTGAAAAAAAAAAAAAAAGTTTATTTGTTTCTATTATAAAAATTTTTCAAACAGGTATTTTTTCTCCTTCACTGATGTACGTTGATGAGGCAGCACTGATGGGCACTGATAGGCGGCACTGATGGGCACTGATAGGCAGCACTAAAGGGCACTGATAGGCAGTACTAATGAGGTGGCACGGATAGGCGGCACTGATAGACAGCACTAATGAGGTGTCACGGATAGGCGGCACTAATATGCAGCACTGATAGGCGGCACTGATAGGTGACACTGATGATGGGTACTGATAGACGGCACTGACTGGCATCACTGCTGGGCACTGACTGGCGGCACTGACTGGCACAACCCCTGGGCACTGACTGGTGGCACTGACTGGCAGCACTGGTGGGTGGCACTGGTGGGTGGCACTGGTGGGCAGCACTGGTGGGTGGGCACAGGTGGGTGGCACTGGTGGGCACAGGTGGGTGGGCACAGGTGGGTGGCACTGCTGGGCACAGGTAGGTGGCACTTCTGGGCACAGGTGTGTGACACTGCAGAGTGGCACAGGTGGGTGCACTGCTGGGCACAGGTGGGTGATCTGCTGGGCACAGGTGGGTGATCTGCTGGGCACAGGTGGGCGGAGCTAGTGGGCGCACTGCTGGGCACAGGTGGGCGGAACTTGCGGGTGGTACTGCTGGGCACCGATCATCAGGGCACTGATCATCAGTGCCCTGATGATCGGTGCCGATCCCCGCTCTGACAACTGCCGGTTCTCGGCAGTACTTTCCTCACGATCTGACAGCGTGAGGAAAGTGCAGCCGAGAACCGGCACTTGCATTTCCCTCTGATCAGCGTGTCATTGGACACCGCTGATCACGTGGTAAAAGGCCGCTGTGATTGGCCTTTTACCACATCACGTGATCAGCTGTGTCTGTAGGACACAGCGATCACGGAGATCGCCGGGTGCGCGCCCCCTGGGGAGCGCAGGAGAGCGCGTTCTGGGAGGCCGTCATATGACGTCCACTCAGAACTGGCCGGCCGCAGTGCAGCCGTCATTCGGCTATCTGCGGTCGGCAACTAGTTAAGTAAATTCACCTGACTAAGCCATATTTGCTATTGTTCACCCAACCTTCAGATTTTCCATCCGTCAAAAAGTCCCGATATATTTCCCCCTTTTTTTTTCTTATCGCCAGTGTTATATTTCAAGACATGAATTGCTTTGAAATATTTTATCAGTGGATCATCAATGATTAAATGAAGAGGTTGGGGTTTTGGTTCATTTATTTGGGCAAGTCAAGATCCTAAGATCTACTTGGGCCTAGGATCCATGGGGGCTCCACAAAGACCAAGCGGTCAATTTAACCACTAACACCGAAAGCTGCCAGAACCATAAAGTACCTTTAGTGTGGATCCTACCTTAGAAATGTTATAGTAAAGATCAGGTTCACTTTAGATGATGTCTGATTTATATAGTGAACACAGGATACAGAGAAGGCAAGGTTTTTGCATAATCGTGTTACTCCTTATAACTCTTACACTATGTTGTCCCCCCAATTTCACTGCTGTTGTTGAGAAGCCCTCAGAGGTTTTTTAGAGAATATTAGGGAACAAACAGCATCATGAAGGCCAAGGAACACACCAGACAGGTCAGGGATAAAGTTGTGGAGACGTTTAAAGCAGGGTTAGGTTTTAAAAAAAATCCCAAGCTTTGAACATCTCACAGAGCACTGTTCAATCCATCATCCAAAAATGGAAAGAGTATGGCACAACTGCAAACCCACCAAGATATGGCCGTCCACCTAAACTGACAGGCTGGGCAAGGAGAGCATTAATCAGAGAAGCAGCAAAGAGGACCATGGGAACTCTGGAGGAGCTGCAGAGATCTACAGCTTAGGTGGGAGAATCTGTCCACAGGACAACTATTAGTTGTGCACTACACAAACCTGGCCTTTATGGAAGAGTGGCAAGAAGAAAGCCATTGATGAAAGAAAAGCCATAAGAAGTCCCATTTGCAGTTTCCAAGAAACCATGCGGGGGACTCAGCAAACATGTGGAAGAAGGTGCTTTGGTCAGATGAGACCAAAATTTAACTTTTTTGGCCTAAAAGCAAAACACTACGTGAGGCAGAAAACTAACACTGCACATCACCCTGAACACACCATCCCCAACATGAAACATGGTGGTGGCAGAATCATGTGATGGGGATGCTTTTCTTCAGCAGGGACAGGGAAGCTTGTCAGAGTTGATGGGAAGGTGGATGAGCCAAATACAGGGCAATCTTAGAAGAAAACCTGTTAGAGTCTGCAAAAGACTTGAGACTGGGGTGGAGGTTCACCTTCCAGCAGGACAACAACCCTAAACACACAACCAGAGCTACAATGGAATGGTTTAGATCAAAGCATATTCATGTGTTAGAATGGCCAAGTCAAAGTCCAGACCTAAATCCAATTGAGAATCTGTGGCAAGACTTGAAAATTGCTGTTCACAGACGCTCTCCATCCAATCTGACAGAGCTTGAGCTATTTTGCAAAGAAGAATGTGCAAAAATGTTACTCTCTATATGTGCAAAGCTGGTAGAGACATCCCCAAAAAGATTTATTTATAAAATATTTTGAAAACAATTTATCACTTTCCTTCCACTTTGTGCAACTTTGTGTTGGTCTATCACATAAAAATCCTAATAAAATACATTTATGTTTTTACTGGGTATTTTTCAACATTTTTGGTCTTTTTTTGTTCATATAATAAAAAATAAAAAAACCCAGTAGAGATAAAATCCCACCAAAATAAAGTTCTACTTGTGTGAAAATAATGATATAAATTTAATTTGGGTACAGCATTGCATGACGCGAAATTGCCAGTTAAAAAAGTGCAGTGCTAAATAGCAAAAAATGGCCTGGGCATAAAAGGGTAAAACCTTCCGGAACTAAAATGGATAATATCGCATTATAAAAATTCTTCAGGGTCCGCTTTTTTGCAGAGTTGCCTGCTATGGCTACAACCAGTCAGCATTGTCTACAAGGATGACCTTGTAGTTGCTCACGATTGACTGTGCCAAATACTTACCGCTTTACAAGAGCTACAAAGAATCTTTACATCCAACATACTTCTGGGAAAGTCGGATCCCTTTTCCCCAATAAGCTCTGTAGTTTCATGCCACCCGGACCCCCACCCCCCATCATGACTGTGTCTTGTAGGGATGTGGGAAGGGGTTGTGGAACCACAGATCACAAAGCAGAAATGCTGCCGTATCTTTTGCATAGTCTTTCTTTTGTCAGCAACTTTTTAAAAAATATTCTGGTTAACCCCAGAGTATTTTATAAAATGATAATGGGATTATTGAAATGTGTCTACTGTACATGATATCATGTACACAAGTACGTTATAACAGGTCAACTGTACGGGTCTCATCAGGGGCGGACTGACAACTCATGGGGCCCCCAGGCAATAGGGGATCATGGGGCCCCTGTGTCCTTGCCCAAACTCAAAAAAGCCTATGAAAAAGGTACCAGGGGCATCTCATTGGGCCCCCGACTGACCCCGGGCCCTCTGGCAGTGCCCGAGTTTCCAAATGGTCAGTCCACCCCTGGGTCTCACATTTCTTAGGTCTTGAACTTTCCATGTGTATAACCAAAAATAAAAAGAGGGTGTAGTCAGCATTGGACATGTGCAGTTCGTTTTGGTCCAAATTGAAATTCGGATGAAATTTTCATTATTCAGAGAGTTGAATGTATACATATTTCCAAATTACAATAGTAAGATATTTGAACGAATCCGAAATAACAAAATTAAATTCCATTTGAATCGATTTTGAAAACAAAATTGAGTTAAAAAACAAATTTGAAATATAAACATATTGCTGAATATTGCTGATTTCCATCAAAGAGTATGTGTATTAGTGTTAGAATATAGCTGTCTTCCAAAATTTAAATTTAGCAAAGAGTAGAATAAAGCAGAATAGAAAATAATAGAATAGAATAGAAAATAAAAGAATAGGATAGGGTAAAAAAAAGGCATAACCTAGAAAAAAGAATAGAACATAATAGAAAAAAAAAGAATAGAATAAATATAGCTGTCTTCAAAAATGTTAATTTTGAAAAAAGAATAGAAGAGTAATGAACTTCAACGAATCTGAGCTAACAAAATGAAATTTTGTTTGAATCGAATTCAAACACAAAATTGAATTCAAAGACAAATTTGAAATTTAAACATATTGCTGAATATTTCCATTTTCCTTCAAAGACTATGTGTATTAGTATTAGAATAAAGCTGTCTTCTGGATTGTGAATTTTGCAAAGAATAGAATATAGTAAAATAGAATAGAATATCAAAGAATAGACTAGAAAATAAATTAATAGAATAGGATAGAAAATAAAATAATAAAATAGAAAATAATAGAATCAAATAGAAAAAAATGTGAATAGCATAGAATAAATAAAGCCATCTTGCAAAATTTGAATTTAGAAAAGAATAGAATAAAACAGAATAGAATAGAAAATACAATAATAGAATAGAATAAGAAATAAAATAACAGAAGAAAAAATAATAGAATAGAAAACAGAATAGAATAAAAAGAAAATAGCCATCTTCTGAAATTTGAATTTAGAAAAGAATAGAATAAAATAAAACAGAATAGAATCCATTAAAACAGAACAGATTAGAATAGGAAATAAAAGAATAACATAGAATAGAATAAAAAATAAAGGAATAGAATAGAAAGTAGAATCCAAAAGAATAGAAGATAATAGAAAATAAAAGAATAGAATAGAATTTAAAAAAAAACAGAATAGAATAGAATAGAATAGAAAGAATATAACCATCTTCTGAAAATAAAATTTCAAATAGAATAGAAGCAGCTATTCTTCACAATAAATTTGGATGGTTTTTGATTTTTTGGGATTCAAATTTGATTTGAATTCTTCAAATTCATTGAAAAAAAATTTGAACCTGGACAAAAATGAATAAACCAAACCAAACAAATTTTGTTATGAATGCAACAAAATAAAAAGAGTAACTTAACGAATCGATCTAAAATGAAACAAATGTTTTCATTCTGCACATGTCTAGTCAGGAAAGAGATTTCAAGCATGATGAACCCTTTCCAGTCCCAGAAATCTTTGATAAAATATCCAACAGCTATTTATTACACCTTTTTTCTTTGCCAACATTGATTTGCTTTAATTAAAATGTAATATCAGCTTGTAGAAAGCTAGCAAAAAAACTGGAAGGTAATAATAGAGCGTCTGCCCCGGACTCCCCATCTATAAGGTAACCAAATTCTGTTGTTATTCTAGTATCAGCGATTGGTAGCATAACATAGAGAACATGGTAGGATCATGGAAATTGTATTATGGACAGATGTAATAAATGATTCTCTCACCTATGAATTGCTCATTGTTCCAACATGGTGTCTCTTTACTGTTGCTCTGGGATCAAATTCACTTTCATTCCTATTCAGTCTTTTGACTCTTAATAATTGTCTGGAGGGTAATGGTGTGTATGCCCTTTAGGCACATGCTATCTTAGCATAAAGATTGTAGTTATCAGCAAGCTCCATGTATATATCTGTTACCAAGGTGACTAAGGTGATGCTGGAATTTTTTTACTATGACATCTGTATAGAGGTATTACTACATTTGAGGACAGTCGTATTTGTATCATGTAGTGAATTGATGGCATTGAAAGATTAACCATGTTCCCCCCGCTGCTTTGTAGAAATATTATCATGCAGTCACCGGTGAATTTTCAATATAACCTGACGGAATTAAACATTTTTTTGCCCTCATCTTGCAAATTTCAAGGATTGGCTTGTTGTTGTAATCACCTCACATTCAAAAATGCTTTACCTTGTCGGGATCAGAGGAGTTGTCAGATTTTGGAAATATGAGTTTGACAATTATTCTTCTTAATGGAGTTCTATGGTCAGAGCATACACTTTCATTTTATGATGTCAGCGTGGTAATATTAATACAAACAATAGTTATTTTTGAGAATCCAATAAAAGCTTAATTGAAAAATCATCTTTCGTGTTAGCATGCTTTTGCAGCTTCTTTCTCTGCTGTTTGCTTCCCATTTTTAAGGACTGCATGTCCCATGGTACCTTGCTGCCTGAAAGCAGTGATTCCTGTACTGACTCTGCCGCCTGAAACTCCTGCTCTCAGCACCTCTGTAGATCAAAAGGCAGGCTCTGTGAAATGTGTGACACAGCAGTGCCTACTCATCGGGCATAGAGAATATGTGTCACAGAATTCAAAGCAGTAAATGTGTGGGGTCTTCACAGAGTAAGTTTATAAACTTCAAGATTGTTCAGATAAATAGGAGTAGGCGCAAAGAGATTAAAATTCACTGTGGAATTAAATAGAGGAATTTACATTTTGACCATGAATACACTGAATTTCATGATTTATTATTTTGTGTCCCACAAAGGTGCTGTCAGTTGTTTTACATACATGAGACTATAAAGATACAATGTGAAAATCTACATTTAATCCCACCTTTAAATACACTGCTCAAGAAAATTAAAGGAATTCTTATTAATCAGAGTGTAGCATCAAGTCAGTTAAACTCCTGGAATATTGATCTGGTCAGGTAAGTAGCAGAGGGGGTTGTTAATCAGTTTCAGCTGCTTTGGTATTAATGAAATTAACAACAGGTGCACTAGATGGGCAACAATGAGACGACCCCCAAAATAGGAATGCTTTTACAGGTGGACGCCAATGACATTTTTTCCCTACTCATCTTTTTTGTCTGTTTTTCACTAGTTTTGCATTTGGCTAGGGTCAGTGTCACTACTGGTAGTATGAGGCCATACCTGGACCCTACAGAGGTTGCACAGGCAGTCCAACTCCTCCACTGGTAGCCAGAAGGTTTGCTATGTCTCCCAGCACAGTCTCAAGAGCATGGAGGAGATTCCAGGAGACAGGCAGTTACTCTAGGAGAGCTGGACAGGGCCATAGAAGGTCCTTAACCTATCAGCAGGACCGGTATCTGCTCCTTTGTGCAAGGAGGAACAGGATGAGCACTCTCAGAGCCCTACAAAATGACCTACAGCAGGCCACTGGTGTGAATGTCTCTGACCAAACAATCAGAAACAGACTTCATGAGGGTGGCCTGAGGGCCCCAAGTCCTTTAGTGGACCCTGTGCTCACTGCCCAGCACCATAGAGCTTGATTGGCATTTGCCAATTAACACCAGAATTGGCAGGTCTGCCACTGGTGCCCTGTGCTTTTCATAGATGAGAGCAGGTTCACCCTGAGCACATGTGACAGACGTGAAAGGGTCTGGAGAAGCCATGGAGAATGTTATGCTGCCTGTAACATGGTTTAGCATGACCGTTTTGGTGGTGGGTCAGTGATGGTCTGGGAGTCATATCCATGGAGGGACGCACAGACCTTTACAGGCTAGACAATGGCACCCTGACTGCCACTAGGTATTGGGATGAAATACTTGGACCCATTGTCAGACCCTATGCTAGGTCAGTGCATCCTGGGTTCCTCCTGGTGCACGACAATTAGAGATGAGCGAATCGAAGTAGGCGAAGTGGAATTCGTTTCGAATATTAGGAAAATTTCGATTCGCGTCGAATCCGAAAATAAGCAGACTTCGGATGCGCGAATCGAAATTTTTCCTAAAATGGCGGCGACATGTGCGGCGACGGAGCGGGGATGTCTGGGAAGGCGCGCAGACAAGGCGCGCTGACCCATAATGCATTCATTCATGACATGTGATCGCATTAGCCAATCAGCAGCCAGCCAGCCAGCACAGTGTAATGGTCGAGCTATAAATGGCGGCCATTTTAGAATTCTCCATTTGCCTCCAGTCATTCAACAGAGGCAGACCTGGCTGTATTCAGGGAGAGAGTTAGGGACAGAGAAACGTTACTTAGGGACACAGAAACGTTAGTTAGGGGCACAGAATCGTTACTTAGGGCCACAGAAACGTTACTTAGGGCCACAGAAACGTTACTTAGGGCCACAGAATCGTTAGTTAGGGCCACAGAAACGTTACTTAGGGACACAGAATTGTTACTCAGGGACAGACAGAATTGTTACTGAGGGATACAGAATTGTTACTGAGGGCCACAGAATCGTTACTTAGGGCCACAGAAACGTTACTTAGGGCCACAGAATTGTTACTTAGGGACAGACACAGAATTGTTACTTGAGGGACACAGAATTTGTTACTGAGGGCCACAGAATCGTTTACTTAGGGCCACAGAAACGTTACTTAGGGCCACAGAATTGTTACTTAGGGACAGACACAGAATTGTTATTGAGGGACACAGAATTGTTAGTGAGGGCCACAGAACTGTTACTTAGGGCCACAGAAACGTTACTTAGGGCCACAGAATTGTTACTTAGGGACAGACACAGAATTGTTACTGAGGGACACAGATTTGTTACTGAGGGCCACAGAAACGTTACTTAGGGCCACAGAAACGTTACTTAGGGCCACAGAATCGTTACTTAGGACCACAGAAACGTTACTTAGGGACACAGAATTGTTACTCAGGGACAGACACAGAATTGTTACTGAGGGATACAGAATTGTTACTGAGGGGCACAGAATCGTTACTTAGGCCACAGAAACGT